ATATATATATATATATATATGTATATATATATATATATATATATATATATATATATATATATATATATATATATATATATATATATATATATATATATATATATATATATATATATATATATATATATATATATATATATATATATATATATATATATATATATATATATATATATATATATATATATATATATATATATATATATATATATATATATATATATATATATATATATATATATATATATATATATATATATATATATATATATATATATATATATATATATATATATATATATATATATATATATATATATATATATATATATATATATATATATATATATATATATATATATATATATATATATATATATATATATATATATATATATATATATATATATATATATATATATATATATATATATATATATATATATATATATATATATATATATATATATGTATAAAATATTTATATATACACAGCTGGTCAGATTTTTTTCAACACATTTCTAAACATTTCTAATAGCTGATTTATTTTATCTTTGTCATGATGACAGTAAATAATATTTGACTGATATTTTTCAAGACACTTCTATATAGCTTAAAGTGACATTTAAAGGCTTACTATTACTAGTTTAATTAGGTTAACTAGGCAGGTTAGGATAATTAGACAAGCTTTTGTATAACGATGGTTTGTTGTTCTGTAGACTATCAAAAAATAAAAAATAAATGTTTAAAGGGGATAATAATTTTGACTTAATCAAAAATTTTGACATAACCAATAATTTGATTTTTAAAATATTAAAATCTGCTTTTATTCTAGTCAAAATAAAACAAATAAGACTTTCTCCAGAAGAAAAAACATTATCAGACATACTGCGAAAATATCTTTGCTCTGTTAAACATCATTTGGGAAATATAAAAAAAATTATGGAGGAAAAAATATGAAAACAAAATTCAAAGGTGGGCTAATAATTCTGACTTCAACTGTATATTCCAAAAATGTTTTGAGATGCGTTTGTTAAAACTGAAAAGACAAAAATGACACCTTTTCATTTTTTTGATAAATGTGTGATTCATTTATTATTTAAGATTTATTCATCATTTACGTTTCTGATGTTAATAACATATTAAAATAACATTTTTCTTATTATCAGATTTTACTGTGGTGAATATTTCAGCTTTAAACTTTCCTTTAGCATTTACTTACCATACTGCTTTCTACATTCAAGCCCAAACAACAGATTTCACACTGAAATTACAAGTAAGCATATTTCACATTGACAGAAAATATTATTATGTTCAGAAACTCATTCAGATTATATTGATCATATTTACGGCTGCAATCACTATAACATTATTTATATAAGTAACAGATACACATTAGTTGAAACTGATTTCTAGAGTTCATAAAGCTATTTTATTTCATTATACTTTACACTATTTAATCAGATATTGCTCATGAAGGCAGTAATTAATTGCACATGTTTATAACAATCTGAAATGAATACAAACATTGCTATTGTACCTCAATCAAAAAGCAGGGTAAAACAAAACTGGACACTTCTGCCTGAAATCTTTGTAAAGAATATCTGTTTCTTCATGTCAGTTTTATTCATTCATTCATTTTTCTTAGTTTAGTCCCTTTATTTATCAGTGGTCACCACAGCGGAACGAACCGCCAACTTATCCAGCATATGTTTTACACAGCGGATGCCCTTCCAGCTGCAACCCAGTACTGGAAAACACTTATACACTCTCATTCACATACTCACTCACACTAAGGCCAATTTAGTTTATTCAACTCACCTATAGCGCATGTGTTTGGACTGTGGGGGAAACCGGAGCACCCGGAGGAAACCCAAACCAACACAAGGAGAACATGCAAACTCCACACTGAAATGCCAGCTGACCCAGCCGGGACTCGAACCAGCGACCTTCTTGCTGTAAGGTGACAGTGCTAACCACTGTGTCACCCCATGTCAGTTGCACTAAAAAACAAAACACTATACAAATAAAAGAGCTTCTTTGTATTTACAAAATGTGTTTCTAATATACAGATGATCTATGCAAAAGCAAAAGCTTAAAATCACAACGTAGCTTAATTTCACAACACTTTTTGAAGAAAAAACATTATATTACAATGGAAACATGGTCTCTTTCTCACCGGTTTTGTTAACATTTGTAGCATCACAGTTTTGCAAACAGGATGCACCATCCGCGTATGTTTCCTTACTATCAAATCCTGAGGTCAAACACGCCGTAAACTGCTCTTATCTTCTCACTTTGCAAGATATAAAATTGGATGTGTGTTATAAATACACTTGTTATTCAAAGTTTGGGAGCAGCTAGATGTTTTATTAAATTTAAAGAAGTCTCTTCTGCTCACCAAAGCTGCATCTGTTCTATTAGAAGAATAATGTCTCTGGACTGTGGGGGAAACCGGAGCACCCAGAGGAAACCCACATGAATGCGGGGTGAACATGCAAACTCCACACAGAAATGGCAACTGACCCAGCTAGGCTTAAACCAGCGACTTTCTTGCTGTGAGGCGACAGTACTACCTGCTGCGCCACTGTGTTGCCCTCTGCCT